CATCATGTAACATCAGCATGCAACAACATCACGTAACATCAGAATGTAACATCAACATGTAACATCAACTTGTAACATCAAAATTTATCATCGACATGTAATATCCTCATGTAACATCATCATCCAACAACGTCATCTATCTTCAGAATGTAGATTCATCATGTAACATCAACATGTAACAATAAAATGTACCATCAACATGTAACATACTCATGTATCATCATCATGAAACAACATCATCTAACATCCTCATGTAACATGATCATGCAACAACATCATAAAACATCAGAATGTACCTTCGTCGTGTAACATCAACATGAAACATCAAAATGTAACATCAACATGTAAGATCCTCACGTAACATCATCTTGAAACAACAGCATATAACATTAGAATCTAACATCACCATGTAACATCAAAATTTATTATCAACATATACCATCATGATGTAACATCATCATGTAACAATATCATAAAACATCAGAATGTAACATCAACATGTAACATCATCTTGTCACATCAAAATGTAACATTGACATGTAACACCCTCATGTAACATCATCGTGCAAAAACAACATGTAACATCAGAATGTGACATCAACATATAACATCAAAATTTAATACAAACATGTAACATCCCCATGTAACATAATCATGTAACAACCTCATGTAACATCAGAATTTAACATCTTCATGTAACATCATCATGCAACAACATCATGTAACATCAAAATTTAATATCATCATGAACCATCCTCATGTAAAATCATCATGGAACAACATCATGTAACAACAGAATGTAACATCAAATTGTAACATAATCATAAAAGATCAAAATAAAACATTGACATGTAACATCCTCATGTAGCATCAGTATGCAACAACATCATGTAACATCATAATGTAACATCAGAATGTAACGTCAAAATTTAATGGCAACATGTACCATCCTCATGTAATATCATCATGCAACAACATCATATAACATTAGAATATAACCTCATCAAGTAACATCAAAAATTAACATCAAAATATAACATCAACATGCAACATACTCATGTAACATCATCATGTATCAACATCATGTAACATCGGATTGTAACATCAGAATGTATCATCATCATATAACATCAACATGTAACATCAAAATATAACATCAACATTAAACATACTCATGTAACATCATCATTTAACAACGTCGTGCACCAACATCATCAAACATCACAATGTATCAACATCATGTAACATGATCATGTAACATCAAAATGTAATATCAACATGTAACAACCTCATGTAACATCATCATGCAACATCAAAATGTAACATCATCGTGTAACATCAACATGTAACATCATAATGTAAAATCAAAATGTATCATCGACATGTAACATCATCATGCAACAACATCATGTAACATCATCATGTAACATCAGCATGTAACATCAAAATATAACATCAACATGTAAAATCCTCATGTAACATCATCATGCAACAACATCCTGTAACATCATCATGTAACATCAGCATGCAACATCATCACGTAACATCAGAATGTAACATCAACATGTAACATCAACTTGTAACATCAAAATTTATTATCGACATGTAATATCCTCATGTAACATCATCATCCAACAACGTCATCTATCTTCAGAATGTAGATTCATCATGTAACATCAACATGTAACAATAAAATGTACCATCAACATGTAACATACTCATGTATCATCATCATGAAACAACATCATCTAACATCCTCATGTAACATGATCATGCAACAACATCATAAAACATCAGAATGTACCTTCGTCGTGTAACATCAACATGAAACATCAAAATGTAACATCAACATGTAAGATCCTCACGTAACATCATCTTGAAACAACAGCATATAACATTAGAATCTAACATCACCATGTAACATCAAAATTTATTATCAACATATACCATCCTGATGTAACATCATCATGCAACAATATCATAAAACATCAGAATGTAACATCAACATGTAACATCATCTTGTCACATCAAAATGTAACATTGACATGTAACACCCTCATGTAACATCATCATGCAAAAACAACATGTAACATCAGAATGTGACATCAACATGTAACATCAAAAGTTCATACCAACATGTAACATCCCCATGTAACATAATCATGTAACAACCTCATGTAACATCAGAATTTAACATCTTCATGTAACATCATCATGCAACAACATCATGTAACATCAAAATTTAATATCATCATGAACCATCCTCATGTAAAATCATCATGGAACAACATCATGTAACAACAGAATGTAACATCAAATTTTAACATAATCATAAAACATCAAAATGTAACATTGACATGTAACATCCTCATGTAACATCGGTATGCAACTACATCATGTAACATCATAATGTAACATCAAAATGTAACGTCAAAATTTAATGGCAACATGTACCATCCTCATGTAATATCATCATGCAACAACATCATATAACATTAGAATATAACCTCATCAAGTGACATCAAAAATTAACATCAAAATATAACATCAACATGTAACATACTCATGTAACATCTTCATGTATCAACATCATGTAACATCGGATTGTAACATCAGAATGTATCATCATCATATAACATCAACATGTAACATCAACATGAAACATTCAAATTTAACATCAAAATGTTCCATTCTCATGTACCATCATCATGCCACAACATCATGTAACAACAGAATGTAACATCACATGTAACATGTAAATGTAATGTCAACATATAACATCCCCTTGTAATATCAGTATCAACACCATCATATAACATCATAATGTAACATCATCGTGTAACATCAACATGTAACATCAAAATGTAAAATCAAAATGTATCATCGACATGTAACATCATCATGCAACAACATCCTGTAACATCATCATGTAACATCAGCATGCAACAACATCACGTAACATCAGAATGTAACATCAACATGTAACATCAAATTGTAACATCAAAATTTATCATCGACATGTAATATCCTCATGTAACATCATCATCCAACAACGTCATCTATCTTCAGAATGTAGATTCATCATGTAACATCAACATGTAACAATAAAATGTACCATCAACATGTAACATACTCATGTATCATCATCATGAAACAACATCATCTAACATCCTCATGTAACATGATCATGCAACAACATCATAAAACATCAGAATGTACCTTCGTCGTGTAACATCAACATGAAACATCTAAATGTAACATCAACATGTAAGATCCTCACTAACATCACTACCGGGTGTTGGAACATCATTACTTCTTTGATATTGTCAAATTTATATCTATCCTATGTTTAATATTTATTGGCGTACAAAAAAACCTTCGTCCTGCTTAATTTTGATGAAGACACCATTTCAGAAATAAACTTTGTACACAACTTATCAGTCTTATCAAATGAAATACCGAATTCAACCAAAAACAATGAACTTAACCCAGCATACATTAATAATGATATTACGTAGAACCAAGTCCAAAATCTAAGATTTCTTAGTTACTGCTCGTTAGAGTAATAGGTTTTATGAGTTCTGTGCGAATATTATCGTGGCTAGATTCACCTCAATATCTCATTATCGATTCTATCATCTAATTTTTTGAGATTCGGTGACAGAAATTAATAAATTGCTTATCATCTATATAAAAATCCCTATCTAGCTTTCTAATCATCATTCACCATACATTCATATAATGTATGGGAAGAGATGCAGACTATTGATTCACTACTCATACAGATAAATTTCAAGTGTGCAAAACTTATTCACAAATTAAATCTAATAAACATAGACTAAATTATTTACATGATTTAGTCGGATTTAAAGGTGTCTTCTTAAAGATGATACATTTATTAGTTGTATACTCGTGATAGTCAATCAGTGGAAAACTTGGTCGAACCCAGCTTTACTTACGAGGACTTTGTACGACAGATGAAACAAGTTGATTTAGGTTTTGTTCGTATTCCATTCAGGTTGACTGGAGATCGAGGGCAACCGAGGTATGTCTAAAAGCCAATTGAACTGGTCACGTGACACGCTACATGCCGAAATGTCCCAAAAATTATAACGTCATTGAGTTACTTTTTTGTAATGTAGATATATGTTATACTTCCAACGCTGAAATTCTGCGCCTTTATGTCAACTGAAAATTATAGGTCATCCTAATACAGGTGTTTTGTCTCTCCGTCAAACATACAAATAACGACTTTGTTGTACGCAAACCCTGTACGCGACTGTAGACCTTCAATATATATTGATACTCAAGTCTGAGATTCCCATTATTAATGAAAGCTGACCAATTTAATATCATGTAATTCGTTCCTTTCACGAATTCAGGCAAGCCACATACAGCTTAACAAGTTATGTCGAAATATTAACAATTTGCGATTTCGAAAAAACGATAGTGACTGGGTCTGTCCAAATCGTCTTGGAAAAGCTACGAATGAACCAATGTACTCGACTGAAAAACATGTCAATCATGTTACTGACAGAACGGTAGAAAAATTCTATCCATTTAGACAAACGCGCCAATTTTTTCGACAAAAACTAACTTTATTTTTATGATTTTGAAACAAATTGACAAACTTTTCCAAACCTACTATTCACAACATAGAATCGATGATTTCCAGTGTGGATGAAATCTTATTCTCATCACATCATATAACTCACTCATTGATTGGCCAGGTTTGCTTCATTCATCGTGTGATTACAAATCTGATGTAATAACAAGTTAGTTCTTCAATCAGATTATCCTATAAACCCTTATGTCGTAAAAAGCTTAACCCAAATTATTAGCTAAACGCTATGTTCATGTAAGTTAGATTTAAGCTATATTTCTTGCAGATTATCATATCAAATCACTGTAACCGAATTGGATTCTAAATTTATCATAAACATTACTAATAGGTATTTGAGCAAACCTGTTATGATGTATTTTCTACTTAAATCTACCGAAGGTCTATGAAACATTTGGCCCTGTACGTACTCCATTTTACCTGGTGATTCTTTCCAAGTCATTTTGTGTATCGGAGTTTAAACATGATCAAATCTCAGATTCACGTGATTGTACACTTTCGAGACCTGCAATTTGTTCTGGAAATGTAGAATCGTCTGAAATACCAGGCGAAACAATGTCCAATACTCAACTTGATAGTCATGATTCACTTAATCATGGCAATGATCAGACTCCTATTGGAACTGAAATACCAATAATTGACAACAATAATCCTATCACTCATGAAGAAAGGAAAAAAATTAACCAATCTTTGAAAGGAATATCTGTGTTCTATGCACCTGATATACCTGAACTCACAATTCCCGTCTTTTACAACCAATTAATCACTAATAACATCAAAGGATCAGACGCATCTTGGGTAGGCGACATGGAACCTCCACCTGAAGTAGGTTTACAAACTCAGCATTCCTTGTTAGCTCGATATTTTGATAATTTCTCCTTTTCATTCATAATGGAGCAGTAAAAAAGAGAATTTGATGCCACTTCAAACCGCCAACTGATTAGTAGTCAATACACTATTAATATGCTGCCTTAGTAACAGCAAATAAATTTATAATGATATTAAAGGCAGCCAATAAATTATAGCTGTCAGTTTATCATGTCGTTGTCACTTTCATATGTTTGTGAATCTGGGAACTGTACATACTTAAGTCAATATTAAAGTAAAATGAAGGGGTTTGAACGTACATCAAACAGTGTGGCTAAAACAATTCTCTTTAATAATAATTTCTTAGGCAAAATAATGCGCGTTGGTTTATTTTTTTCTATGTATTAAAGTTAATTGTTGCCTACTGTTTTATTTACACCATTTGGTTGTCACAAATTATTAGCTGTGACTTAATTAGAGTACAATATAGTATACCTAAACAATGATCAAAGCTAAAATACATTGTGGTTTTCTTTGCAGTTTAAAAACATCGTTAGGTAAACTGAACAGAATCTCAGTTTACTGCATAGAGAATATTCTTTAATGCACCACAAACGTTCCACATTGTACGTATTTGGAAATTGTTATCATACACTGTACTTATAAAAGATCGTTGTACGCAAATACTAAAAACATATCACCAAAGAGTTTGATACTATTCAAAATTCTACAGCACTACGTTTCATCGCAAAAACAAACTTTCTGATTGCTATCAATAATTTGTTTTTAACTTAGGCATTAGAATTTTCAGATGATGAAAAAGAGAAACTGCATAGACGCACGTTAAAGATGAAACGAAAATCGCAATCACTAGGTGAGTTTTTTTCACACATTTCTCACAACTGTAAAATTTTAGTTTCGTCTAAGGTCTAATTAAAACTTCGTTTAAAAGTGAAAAGTTGATACATAGGATAGTAGTTGGGTTAATGGAAAATTAATATTATAATCGCATTATGTTATAGTAACTAAAACGCGTTAGATTCGCTAAAAGAATTAAGTTCATTATCCCATTATTAGTAAATAACGACTCTGAGTATCTCAGAGAGATTAGCTAGTAATGCAATACAACTGTTACTGACCAACATTAACCTAACCATACCGCATTTCTAAATATTGATAGTTTCTGAGTAACTTACAAATATCACTTGCTAGTGCGTTCTTCTATTCGTGAAGGTTGTATGCATTGTAATTTTAAATAATTGTACATATGTGTTGAAGTTCAAACAATTCACTTCTACCTGAACTTTGTGATGATGTTGTTGTTCAGAAGAACATTCAAAGCTCCACGACCAAACTATTCAGCTGAAAGAAAGAAACTCCACCATAATCGGACATCACTTAATGTATATTTAATGATTATGAGCATAGAAATTAAAGCCATATTTACTTTGATTTGAAGTGGAACCAACGAACTCAATCCAAATGTTAAGCCAACAAGAGAAACTGGACAAGCGGCATAGCAAACTGCCATTTGGTTTGAAGAAACGTCTAACTGCTGTTGCACCGAGCGTTCAACCCATAGACCGTACCCATGGTTATTCACTTCAACAACAACCCTGTAACTTAAGACCATGTTTGTCTATCCAATCATCAAACCAGTGGAACATGTATCCTAATGTTCAACCTCAATGGCAAAATCAAAGTTATGATCACAGCACCTGGCCATCTATGCCTACGTATCCTCCTATAGTACAAACTCCATATCCAAATATACCGCAAAACCCAGTGCCACTACACCCATTTCCATATCACTGTACGTTTGTCATTATATCATTCAATTTCTATATTGTATTATATTCTTCTGTATTAGTTTAGCCTGTATAAAAATCGTATCTCCTCAAGTTGTTTTCAAAAGTATCACGTGTTGAACAATTGATTTCTTAATCGTAAACTATAGTTTTAGCAACAAATCTTTACAAAATTCATTTCTGGTTTTGTATAGACAAAATATGCGATAGGAACTAGATACTAGCAGTTAGGCACAGAAAGCTTGTTTCTTTTGCCAATCGGAGTAGGATTTTTAGCTTATTTTTCAGTAATTGTGACCTGTAAACTACTGAAAGCTTTGCAATAGAAACAATCTTAAAAGGAGCTTGTAGAATTTACAACCACACCATACACCTATGCAACAACAAGTTTTTGGGTATTACAGTATGAAGGCAATTTTGCTAAACAAACGTTTTTTTCATTAGAACCTCATCTCAATTTTTGTTTCATTCCAAACAGATACTCTCCCTGAACAAACCTACCAACAGAATTCGTGGTCATCGTATGCTCCATCGTGATCAAAAAACTATTCAATGTTTCATGAACTATCCATGTACAAAATATAAATATGTACCAACATAAACGATTAAGTGGTCTTTTTATTATCAAAGATCAAATTTTGTTTCCCGACTATTTTAAAATAGATTTTAAAGCGTGACCGTATGTAAGCGTGGTTTGTGTAATAACACTAGAAAGTAAAGTTTGTGCTGGTACTCATTTAAACATTTTAGAACAGTCGTTTGAATATTTGACTAGTTCTGATGACTACCACATCCTAATATCGTTAATAGGTTATCGAAAATCTACATGGTATTCGCTAAAAATAAGCTGATATCTGAACATAGATGCAACAGACGGTCGCCACAATCTGTTCCATGAGTCGCGACACCATAAGATCCACCCAGATGTCTTTCGTTTTCGCTTAGTCTACCTAATTGAGCATTAACGTCACCCTCACTATTACTACATCAGAGTACCTAACGTTTTGGAGGTGCGAAAGCTTCTTGTGAAACTTATCTTTTACCTCATCTGAGCTGCAGTCAGTGGGAGCATAGGCAGAGACGACGAAGAGGTGACTGCGAGTGTCCCCATCTTTCGGAGTTCTTACTATCTAGTCTAGTCGGACAGCTCACAAGTGACTGTCTACTGGGACACAGTTTAAGAGAGCTAGTTCTGCTTTAAAAAGCAGTGCTATACCTACACCAGTGAGGCCATGGATAGCAGCACTGATGCTTTCAAATGGACGAAGCGTGAATCTATACGATGGTTTATTTTGACATCGTGAGGTTAAATTATTCACTGTACTCGGATCCTGTATGCGCGTTTCGGAGACGCAGCATATATCAGTGGCACGAAATTCTACAGTCCTAGCTAAGGAAACCTGCAGTCTTATCTTGGATAACGTCCGAACATTAGAAGCAGTTCACAGCGGGCTTTTGGGGGACTAGGAAATAGCGAATCGTGTACTCGATTCGTTAGCATTAGCCGCGCGGATTGTTAAAGGTACACGAGGAGGAATAGACGTGGAGACAAGAGAGAATTGGGGGAAGGATTTGATTGTGAGCAAGTTGATGTCGTGTGTTGTTAGGGCTATGAGGGTGGACTTCACTTCCTGGCTGCCCACACCGTGGAAGGTTACTTCTGAAGGGACCCGGGAGTGAAGTTGGGTTAGTGTCGCACTTAGTAACTGTAGGGCTCAAGGGACAACTACTTGAGACCGATCACCTACGGCCTTTTTAAAGGAGGTTTGTAATGTTAGCTCCGTTCTTCATATGGCCCTACCGGTAGAGATGGAAATTCGTGCGGTAAGTTGAGATGTGGCGTTTTTAGGGTCAACCTTTTCTAACTGATTTCTACCTTGTGAAAATGTGGCATCGCTGCAAATGCTGGTTGTTCGACGGAAAAGCCTCTCTGCTGTCACACCCCTCTGCAGTCAGCAATACGATTTCACCCTCAGATTTTGAGTTGCTGCTTTGAGTATGACCGTTCTCAAATAGACCTGCCGGGCATGGTCGGATCTACAGAACTGTTGTTCTAGTGAAGGTAGCAGTTTCATTCGGGCCAATGTTGTGAAACGACAAGTTACTTTATATTCCCAGTTTAGTGTACAGAAAAGTAGTGGGTTATGAATGTTTTATCACTGAATTCTAAACAAACAATTGATATAAAGTTCACACCAAAGGTTGTACATACAACTAATTATATTACAGTATGGTTCGTTTGAAAATGTTAGACACGGAATGTACGTACAATGCGGACAATTCTTTGCCTACATATTGGGCATTCAGTCAGCTTTCTTCCGCAATCAACACACGAAAATAAATGACCGCATTCCAGAAATACACAGTTAATTGGAGCTTCCATACAAATCCCACATTCATCATTCAAATCAACTGGACATTTATCAGGTGGGGATTTTTCACTTGATGTTCCAACATTCTGACAGTTTCCGAATTCTGGTTTTTCTTGAGCTTCAAATGTTGCTGTAAAGAGAATATACAAAAACAATTTGACTAGCCTGTTTGTATAGGATAATGGGATAAGAATAAGCACAAGTATGTTGACACTGCTTCTATAGATAGAAGGGTATGAATAACGGCAACTTGCAATGGAGAACCAAGGAGATATTTTTGTCACATTAAGCTTGTTTTCTTACTATCTACTTCAAGATACACTTTCTTTCTAATCAAAACTAATTATTACTATTGAGGTGTGCTGACGCGAGCGGTCATTCGGAGACAATTATAATCAAATGGTTCTTCGGATATTTTCATCTTACGGAGCTCTAGGATTCAAATGTTCGTTTAATGTTTAAATATATGTATTGACTAACTTTTACGCGGTTTTCGGGACTCACATGCTTGTTGCTGTTTGTTATTGCGCCATAACTGTTTTGCTCTGGAAATGAGTTCAGCTTTTTCTACACAATGTGTGAAGTCGACGAAATTACAAACCAAAAGATCTTTGATTTGACGAACGGAGAGGTTTTCAATGGATTCTTCTGACATCAAGTCTTCAAGTCTAACTTTGCGTTTTGTTGAATCTGAAGACTAAGCATAATTTATATTCCAATTAATTAACAAGGCATAGTGAGAGTGAAGATCATAGTTTACTAGGCTACATAAGTGTATGCATAGTGTTCATAATTTCTAAAGTTTATGGGATAAGAAAGGATATGTAGCACTGTATTAAATCAGATGTTTCATGACAAGCCGACATTAATGACCAAATGAATTTTGTCTGCACTGACGTACTGGAAATATTTTTAGGATATGAGAACGACAGTAACGCGAGACAGATTTATCGAATGATCTGGTTGACGGTTCATCCTACAATCTACTTGAGACAATAAGCGACAGTTCGTGCATATTCTCTATCTGACAAAGAAGCAGTGTGTGTGGTTAAAGTATTGATTCATTAACCGAGAGACTATAGCTTTGAACCTATACTAGCTGCTTAGTACTTCTAGCCCTTTTCGTTATTGAGTTAGATACATTAGTATAGTGACCCGTAAAATTTCATTATTTATGTCTTAAAAGTTTGAGCAATTTAATTAGCAAGTATGTTCAGTCAACAAATTCTGGTTAGCAGACGTTTCTCTAATCCCACTAATTATTGTTGTTAATTATATTTTATTAAGATTCAGTACGAGTTTTTTTACAGTGATCGATTCGGCGAACAAGAATTAGGTAAGGTTTCTTGAATAAAGTTGCTACAGTAAGTTGTCATAGTACCAGTCATTAGTTCAAGTGTCAAAGAAATTAATTATTAGTTCGTACAGTTCAAGATAGATAAGCGACATTAATTATCAAATGCCCTTGGTATTGATAAACTTGATAGTTAATATCTATCAAAGTAACAAGACGATTACATTTTTTGATGTTTTTCGGGAACTGAACGGACTTCAAATTTTTAAATGGAAATTACAGATAACAATGACTTTCCTTAGATCTTAAGACTTAATTTTTCTTGTATCCTAACACTAAACATTGATTTTCCTGAATAACATTTTACTTCTGTGGGCATAACAAAGTCAAATCCTGTCAGGTAAGCATCAACATGCTGGTGTATCACTTTAAAATCGAATGTTTTTGTAATTCAGGAAAAGTAATGTGAAACAACTGAATTTGTGATATATTAGTTTTAAAACAGGTGAATGGATTGCCAACCTACTTTCTTTTTTCGCTAAGTAAACAAAAACAGTAAAACCTATTTGAGCGATCCAACTTCTAAAACCTTATTTTCCCATTACTGAGCTTTTTATTTTGCCAAATAATCGATATTAATGTGCACTCAGGCCTCACTCATACGAAGAATTTGAAGTAAGAATCTAACTTTCCTGAAGGGTCAAGCCGTAAGCATATGCATAATTTCTCGACAAAATTGATCAATACCTAAAACTTTTCTCTAGTTTTCGATGTTTGAGAGTTATGGAGCAAACTACGACCGTGAATATCGAATAAAATAGGTCTATAGATTTTCGAAATTTTTAAATATTTCAAAGATATTCAATTTTTCTACTCCGCAGTCAATATTATTCGTGTAAAAGTGAAAGTGAAAAGTATGTTTGCTATGTACACTAACCACATATTCACCAGCATTTCTTCTGCGAGGGGTAATGCCTAAACTTGTAAGCACTGCTTCTACAAATTGCTCTTTCTCAATCAGACCAACAGAGGATATATTACGACGTTGCATAAACCATTTTAAATCGCGGATATTAAGACTCATTACTGAATCCCAGTTAGCTTGATTTAATTCTAAAACTCTGCACCGGTTGCACAAAATTGTACGATCTGGAAGAAAAAATACATCAAACAGATTTCGAAATCAACACTTGACTGAATTAATACTACGAAGTAGCATTACATAATCTTTCTTTTATACCACATGTTAGGAATAGGATATATACTGCTATTAACTGCGGTTATAATCTAATAATATTTATCACAAAATGTAAGACCGAATTTTCTACCTTCATGAACATATTTCTTCTTGTTTTCTGTTTCGCCTCTACAAGTTACAGTTTCATAAGGAGTATAAAATGAGAGATGCATTTCTAAATTTTTGTATGGACTGTAGATAGTCTTTTACCGCTCTTCTTCCTGTTTGAATTCAACTCTATCATGGTCAAACTCGCAACAATACGAACATCTGACTTTGACTCGTTGTCCTGGGAATAAGAACTTCAGTGTTTTTCATGAACACCTTTCTACATTTGGCTTATTATTTGTTATTTGATGAATTAATACATGCCATTTTGGCTGAATTTTCCACCTATAAATAGTGGCTTAAAGGAGATACTTCTCTGATGCACTTTCTACATGCAATATAGATTCACTTAGTTACTTACGCCTGTTACTCCCAATGCAGGATAGACCGCCAACCAGTTTTCTCTAACGAACTCTGTCCTGGGCTTCTCTCTCCAGTTCTGTCCAATCTTTGTTCATTCTTCTCAAATCTTTCCCTATTTCTCGGCGTAATGTGTTCCTTGGTCATCCTCTTTTCCTTTTCCCTTGAGAGTTCCAAGTGAGGGCTTGTCTTGTGACGCAGTTAGGTGCTTTTCGCAGTGCGTGTCCTATCCACTTCCAACGCTCCTTCCTCATTTCCTCCTGCACTGGAATCTAGTTTGTTCTCTCCCACAGTACGTTGTTGTTGACGGTGTCTGGATAACGAATCCGAGGTATTTTGCGTAGACAGCTGTTAATGAATACTTTTATCCTCTGGATGATGGCTTTGGTAGTTCTCCAAGTTTCCACTCCATACAGTACGACTGTCTTGACATTTGTATTGAAAACCCTGACTCGGGTGTTGGTTGATAGTTGTTTTGGGTTCCAGATGTGGTTCACTTGTAGAAATGCATCCCTTACTTTCCCGATCCAAGCCATCACATCTGCATCGGATCCACCTTGGTTGTCGATGATGCTGCCCAGATGTGGAAAGGTGTTAACGTCCTCCGAGTCATCTCCATCAAGAGTGATTTGGTTGGCACATGTTGTGTTGTATCGGAGAGTCTTGCCTTTCCCTTTGTGTATGTGGATGTCTGTTGTTGCCTAGGATGCTGCTACACTGGTCGTCTTCTCTTGCGTGTGCGACAGGACAGTCAGGTCATCTGCGAAGTCCATATCGTTCATATACATCCTAGCTGTCCACTGTAAACCTACTTCCCTCCAGATGCTGACGTCTTCATAATCCAGTCGATCACCAGGAGAAGGATAAAAAGTGAGAGTAAGCAACCTTGCCTGAAACCGGACTCCACCTCGAAAGAGTCTGTTAGCTGTCCTTCGTGTACGATTTTGCAGTTGAATCCATCATAAGAATTTCGCATGATGTTGACTATACTCTCAGGAATGCCGTAGTTTCGAGGAACCTACATAGTGTTTTCCTGTCTTCGCTATCGACAGGATGGGTTTTATACACAGAACGAGTGTATCTGTGGGAGAGAACAAACCGGATTCCAGTGGAGGAGGAAAGCAGGAATAAGCGTTGGAAGTGGATAGGACACACACTGCGAAAAGCACCTAACTGCGTCACAAGACAAGCCCTCACTTGGAACCCTCAAGGGAAAAGGAAAAGAGAATGACCAAGGAACGCATTACGCCGAGAAATAGAGAAAGATTTGAGAAGAATGAACAAAGATTGGACAGAACTGGAGAGAGAAGCCCAGGACAGAGTTCGTTAGAGAAAACTGGTTGGCGGTCTATCCTGCATTGGGAGTAACAGGCGTAAGGAAGTAAGTGAATCTATATTGCATGTAGAAAGTGCATCAGAGAAGTATCTCCTTTAAGCCACTATTTATAGGTGGAAAATTCAGCCAAAATGGCATGTATTAATTCATCAAATAACAAATAATAAGCCAAATGTAGAAAGGTGTTCATGAAAAACACTGAAGTTCTTATTCCCAGGACAACGAGTCAAAGTCAGATGTTCGTATTGTTGCGAGTTTGACCATGATAGAGTTGAATTCAAACAGGAAGAAGAGCGGTAAAAGACTATCTACAGTCCATACAAAAATTTAGAAATGCATCTCTCATTTTATACTCCTTATGAAACTGTAACTTGTAGAGGCGAAACAGAAAACAAGAAGAAATATGTTCATGAAGGTAGAAAATTCGGTCTTACATTTTGTGATAAATATTATTAGATTATAACCGCAGTTAATAGCAGTATATATCCTATTCCTAACATGTGGTATAAAAGAAAGATTATGTAATGCTACTTCGTAGTATTAATTCAGTCAAGTGTTGATTTCGAAATCTGTTTGATGTATTTTTTCTTCCAGATCGTACAATTTTGTGCAACCGGTGCAGAGTTTTAGAATTAAATCAAGCTAACTGGGATTCAGTAATGAGTCTTAATATCCGCGATTTAAAATGGTTTATGCAACGTCGTAATATATCCTCTGTTGGTCTGATTGAGAAAGAGCAATTTGTAGAAGCAGTGCTTACAAGTTTAGGCATTACCCCTCGCAGAAGAAATGCTGGTGAATATGTGGTTAGTGTACATAGCAAACATACTTTTTACTTTCACTTTTACACGAATAATATTGACTGCGGAGTAGAAAAATTGAATATCTTTGAAATATTTAAAAATTTCGAAAATCTATAGACCTATTTTATTCGATATTCACGGTCGTAGTTTGCTCCATAACTCTCAAACATCGAAAACTAGAGAAAAGTTTTAGGTATTGATCAATTTTGTCGAGAAATTATGCATATGCTTACGGCTTGACCCTTCAGGAAAGTTAGATTCTTACTTCAAATTCTTCGTATGAGTGAGGCCTGAGTGCACATTAATATCGATTATTTGGCAAAATAAAAAGCTCAGTAATGGGAAAATAAGGTTTTAGAAGTTGGATCGCTCAAATAGGTTTTACTGTTTTTGTTTACTTAGCGAAAAAAGAAAGTAGGTTGGCAATCCATTCACCTGTTTTAAAACTAATATATCACAAATTCAGTTGTTTCACATTACTTTTCCTGAATTACAAAAACATTCGATTTTAAAGTGATACACCAGCATGTTGATGCTTACCTGACAGGATTTGACTTTGTTATGCCCACAGAAGTAAAATGTTATTCAGGAAAATCAATGTTTAGTGTTAGGATACAAGAAAAATTAAGTCTTAAGATCTAAGGAAAGTCATTGTTATCTGTAATTTCCATTTAAAAATTTGAAGTCCGTTCAGTTCCCGAAAAACATCAAAAAATGTAATCGTCTTGTTACTTTGATAGATATTAACTATCAAGTTTATCAATACCAAGGGCATTTGATAATTAATGTCGCTTATCTATCTTGAACTGTACGAACTAATAATTAATTTCTTTGACACTTGAACTAATGACTGGTACTATGACAACTTACTGTAGCAACTTTATTCAAGAAACCTTACCTAATTCTTGTTCGCCGAATCGATCACTGTAAAAAAACTCGTACTGAATCTTAATAAAATATAATTAACAACAATAATTAGTGGGATTAGAGAAACGTCTGCTAACCAGAATTTGTTGACTGAACATACTTGCTAATTAAATTGCTCAAACTTTTAAGACATAAATAATGAAATTTTACGGGTCACTATACTAATGTATCTAACTCAATAACGAAAAGGGCTAGAAGTACTAAGCAGCTAGTATAGGTTCAAAGCTATAGTCTCTCGGTTAATGAATCAATACTTTAACCACACACACTGCTTCTTTGTCAGATAGAGAATATGCACGAACTGTCGCTTATTGTCTCAAGTAGATTGTAGGATGAACCGTCAACCAGATCATTCGATAAATCTGTCTCGCGTTACTGTCGTTCTCATATCCTAAAAATATTTCCAGTACGTCAGTGCAGACAAAATTCATTTGGTCATTAATGTCGGCTTGTCATGAAACATCTGATTTAATACAGTGCTACATATCCTTTCTTATCCCATAAACTTTAGAAATTATGAACACTATGCATACACTTATGTAGCCTAGTAAACTATGATCTTCACTCTCACTATGCCTTGTTAATTAATTGGAATATAAATTATGCTTAGTCTTCAGATTCAACAAAACGCAAAGTTAGACTTGAAGACTTGATGTCAGAAGAATCCATTGAAAACCTCTCCGTTCGTCAAATCAAAGATCTTTTGGTTTGTAATTTCGTCGACTTCACACATTGTGTAGAAAAAGCTGAACTCATTTCCAGAGCAAAACAGTTATGGCGCAATAACAAACAGCAACAAGCATGTGAGTCCCGAAAACCGCGTAAAAGTTAGTCAATACATATATTTAAACATTAAACGAACATTTGAATCCTAGAGCTCCGTAAGATGAAAATATCCGAAGAACCATTTGATTATAATTGTCTCCGAATGACCGCTCGCGTCAGCACACCTCAATAGTAATAATTAGTTTTGATTAGAAAGAAAGTGTATCTTGAAGTAGATAGTAAGAAAACAAGCTTAATGTGACAAAAATATCTCCTTGGTTCTCCATTGCAAGTTGCCGTTATTCATACCCTTCTATCTATAGAAGCAGTGTCAACATACTTGTGCTTATTCTTATCCCATTATCCTATACAAACAGGCTAGTCAAATTGTTTTTGTATATTCTCTTTACAGCAACATTTGAAGCTCAAGAAAAACCAGAATTCGGAAACTGTCAGAATGTTGGAACATCAAGTGAAAAATCCCCACCTGATAAATGTCCAGTTGATTTGAATGATGAATGTGGGATTTGTATGGAAGCTCCAATTAACTGTGTATTTCTGGAATGCGGTCATTTATTTTCGTGTGTTGATTGCGGAAGAAAGCTGACTGAATGCCCAATATGTAGGCAAAGAATTGTCCGCATTGTACGTACATTCCGTGTCTAACATTTTCAAACGAACCATACTGTAATATAATTAGTTGTATGTACAACCTTTGGTGTGAACTTTATATCAATTGTTTGTTTAGAATTCAGTGATAAAACATTCATAACCCACTACTTTTCTGTACACTAAACTGGGAATATAAAGTAACTTGTCGTTTCACAACATTGGCCCGAATGAAACTGCTACCTTCACTAGAACAACAGTTCTGTAGATCCGACCATGCCCGGCAGGTCTATTTGAGAACGGTCATACTCAAAGCAGCAACTCAAAATCTGAGGGTGAAATCGTATTGCTGACTGCAGAGGGGTGTGACAGCAGAGAGGCTTTTCCGTCGAACAACCAGCATTTGCAGCGATGCCACATTTTCACAAGGTAGAAATCAGTTAGAAAAGGTTGACCCTAAAAACGCCACATCTCAACTTACCGCACGAATTTCCATCTCTACCGGTAGGGCCATATGAAGAACGGAGCTAACATTACAAACCTCCTTTAAAAAGGCCGTAGGTGATCGGTCTCAAGTAGTTGTCCCTTGAGCCCTACAGTTACTAAGTGCGACACTAACCCAACTTCACTCCCGGGTCCCTTCAGAAGTAACCTTCCACGGTGTGGGCAGCCAGGAAGTGAAGTCCACCCTCATAGCCCTAACAACACACGACATCAACTTGCTCACAATCAAATCCTTCCCCCAATTCTCTCTTGTCTCCACGTCTATTCCTCCTCGTGTACCTTTAACAATCCGCGCGGCTAATGCTAACGAATCGAGTACACGATTCGCTATTTCCTAGTCCCCCAAAAGCCCGCTGTGAACTGCTTCTAATGTTCGGACGTTATCCAAGATAAGACTGCAGGTTTCCTTAGCTAGGACTGTAGAATTTCGTGCCACTGATATATGCTGCGTCTCCGAAACGCGCATACAGGATCCGAGTACAGTGAATAATTTAACCTCACGATGTCAAAATAAACCATCGTATAGATTCACGCTTCGTCCATTTGAAAGCATCAGTGCTGCTATCCATGGCCTCACTGGTGTAGGTATAGCACTGCTTTTTAAAGCAGAACTAGCTCTCTTAAACTGTGTCCCAGTAGACAGTCACTTGTGAGCTGTCCGACTAGACTAGATAGTAAGAACTCCGAAAGATGGGGACACTCGCAGTCACCTCTTCGTCGTCTCTGCCTATGCTCCCACTGACTGCAGCTCAGATGAGGTAAAAGATAAGTTTCACAAGAAGCTTTCGCACCTCCAAAACGTTAGGTACTCTGATGTAGTAATAGTGAGGGTGACGTTAATGCTCAATTAGGTAGACTAAGCGAAAACGAAAGACATCTGGGTGGATCTTATGGTGTCGCGACTCATGGAACAGATTGTGGCGACCGTCTGTTGCATCTATGTTCAGATATCAGCTTATTTTTAGCGAATACCATGTAGATTTTCGATAACCTATTAACGATATTAGGATGTGGTAGTCATCAGAACTAGTCAAATATTCAAACGACTGTTCTAAAATGTTTAAATGAGTACCAGCACAAACTTTACTTTCTAGTGTTATTACACAAACCACGCTTACATACGGTCACGCTTTAAAATCTATTTTAAAATAGTCGGGAAACAAAATTTGATCTTTGATAATAAAAAGACCACTTAATCGTTTATGTTGGTACATATTTATATTTTGTACATGGATAGTTCATGAAACATTGAATAGTTTTTTGATCACGATGGAGCATACGATGACCACGAATTCTGTTGGTAGGTTTGTTCAGGGAGAGTATCTGTTTGGAATGAAACAAAAATTGAGATGAGGTTCTAATGAAAAAAACGTTTGTTTAGCAAAATTGCCTTCATACTGTAATACCCAAAAACTTGTTGTTGCATAGGTGTATGGTGTGGTTGTAAATTCTACAAGCTCCTTTTAAGATTGTTTCTATTGCAAAGCTTTCAGTAGTTTACAGGTCACAATTACTGAAAAATAAGCTAAAAATCCTACTCCGATTGGCAAAAGAAACAAGCTTTCTGTGCCTAACTGCTAGTATCTAGTTCCTATCGCATATTTTGTCTATACAAAACCAGAAATGAATTTTGTAAAGATTTGTTGCTAAAACTATAGTTTACGATTAAGAAATCAATTGTTCAACACGTGATACTTTTGAAAACAACTTGAGGAGATACGATTTTTATACAGGCTAAACTAATACAGAAGAATATAATACAATATAGAAATTGAATGATATAATGACAAACGTACAGTGATATGGAAATGGGTGTAGTGGCACTGGGTTTTGCGGTATATTTGGATATGGAGTTTGTACTATAGGAGGATACGTAGGCATAGATGGCCAGGTGCTGTGATCATAACTTTGATTTTGCCATTGAGGTTGAACATTAGGATACATGTTCCACTGGTTTGATGATTGGATAGACAAACATGGTCTTAAGTTACAGGGTTGTTGTTGAAGTGAATAACCATGGGTACGGTCTATGGGTTGAACGCTCGGTGCAACAGCAGTTAGACGTTTCTTCAAACCAAATGGCAGTTTGCTATGCCGCTTGTCCAGTTTCTCTTGTTGGCTTAACATTTGGATTGAGTTCGTTGGTTCCACTTCAAATCAAAGTAAATATGGCTTTAATTTCTATGCTCATAATCATTAAATATACATTAAGTGATGTCCGATTATGGTGGAGTTTCTTTCTTTCAGCTGAATAGTTTGGTCGTGGAGCTTTGAATGTTCTTCTGAACAACAACATCATCACAAAGTTCAGGTAGAAGTGAATTGTTTGAACTTCAACACATATGTACAATTATTTAAAATTACAATGCATACAACCTTCACGAATAGAAGAACGCACTAGCAAGTGATATTTGTAAGTTACTCAGAAACTATCAATATTTAGAAATGCGGTATGGTTAGGTTAATGTTGGTCAGTAACAGTTGTATTGCATTACTAGCTAATCTCTCTGAGATACTCAGAGTCGTTATTTACTAATAATGGGATAATGAACTTAATTCTTTTAGCGAATCTAACGCGTTTTAGTTACTATAACATAATGCGATTATAATATTAATTTTCCATTAACCCAACTACTATCCTATGTATCAACTTTTCACTTTTAAACGAAGTTTTAATTAGACCTTAGACGAAACTAAAATTTTACAGTTGTGAGAAATGTGTGAAAAAAACTCACCTAGTGATTGCGATTTTCGTTTCATCTTTAACGTGCGTCTATGCAGTTTCTCTTTTTCATCATCTGAAAATTCTAATGCCTAAGTTAAAAACAAATTATTGATAGCAATCAGAAAGTTTGTTTTTGCGATGAAACGTAGTGCTGTAGAATTTTGAATAGTATCAAACTCTTTGGTGATATGTTTTTAGTATTTGCGTACAACGATCTTTTATAAGTACAGTGTATGATAACAATTTCCAAATACGTACAATGTGGAACGTTTGTGGTGCATTAAAGAATATTCTCTATGCAGTAAACTGAGATTCTGTTCAGTTTACCTAACGATGTTTTTAAACTGCAAAGAAAACCACAATGTATTTTAGCTTTGATCATTGTTTAGGTATACTATATTGTACTCTAATTAAGTCACAGCTAATAATTTGTGACAACCAAATGGTGTAAATAAAACAGTAGGCAACAATTAACTTTAATACATAGAAAAAAATAAACCAACGCGCATTATTTTGCCTAAGAAATTATTATTAAAGAGAATTGTTTTAGCCACACTGTTTGATGTACGTTCAAACCCCTTCATTTTACTTTAATAGTTGACTTAAGTATGGTACAGTTTCCCAGATTCACAAACATATGAAAGTGACAACGACATGATAAACTGACAGCTATAAATTTATTGGCTGCCTTTAATATCATTATAAGTTTATTTGCTGTTACTAAGGCAACATATTAATAGTGTAATTGACTACTAATCAGTTGGCGGTTTGAAGTGGCACCAAATTCTCTTTTTTACTGCCCCATTATGAATGAAAAGGAGAAATTATCAAAATATCGAGCGTAACAAGGAATGCTAAGTTTGGTAAACCTACTTCAGGGTGAGGTTCCATGTCGCCTACCCAAGATGCGTCTGATCCTTTGATGTTATTAGTGATTAATTGGTTGTAAAAGACGGGAATTGTGAGTTCAGGTATATCAGGTGCTAGAAACACAGAGTATTCCTTTCAAAGATTGGTTATAATTTTTTTCCTTTCTTCAATGAGTGATAGGATTATTGTTGTCAATTATTGGTATCTTCAGTTCCAATAGGAGTCTGATCATTGCCATGATTAATTGAATCATGACTATCAAGTTGAGTATTGCGACATTGTTTCGCCTGGTATTTTCAGACGGATTCTACATTTCCAGAACAATTTGCAGGTCTCGAAAGATGTACAATCATGTGAATCTGAGAATTTGATCATGTTTTAAACTCCGATACACAAAATGACACTTGGAAAGAATCACCAGGTAAAATGGAGTACGTACGAGGGCCAAATGTTTCATAGACCTTCGTGTAGATTTAAAGTAGAAAATACATTATAAACAGGTTTGCTCAAATACCTATTACTAATGTTTATGATAAATTTAGTAATCCAATTCGGTTACAGTTGATTTGATATGACTATAATCTTGCAAGAAATATAGCTTAAATCTAACTTACATCGAACAGTAGCGTCTAGCTAACTTAAGTAGGGTTAGGGCTTTTTACGACATAAGGGGTTATATAGGATTATCTGATTGAAGAAACTTAACTTGTTATTACATCAGATTTGATAATCACACGATGATGAGCAAACTGGCCGAATCAGTGAGTGAGGTTATATGATGTGATGAGAATACGATATTTCATCCACATTGCGAAATCATCGATTCTATGTTGTGAATAGTATGTGTTTGGAAAAGTTTGTAACTTTGTTTCTACAATATCATAAAAATATAAGTTTAGGTTTTTGTCGAACAAAATTGGCAGCGTTTGTCTAAATGGATAGGAAATTTTTCTACCGTTCGTCAGTAACATGATTGACATGTTTTTTCAGTCGAGTAACATTGGTATCATTCGTAGCTTTTTCCAAGACGATTTGGACAGACCCAGGTCACTATCGTTTTTTTCGAAATCGCAAATTGTTAATATTTCGACATAACTTGTTAAGCTGTATGTGGCTTGCCTGAATTCGTGAAAGGAACGAATTACATGATAATAAATTGTTCAGCTTTTCGATTAAGATGGGAATCTCAGACTTGAGTAGTAATATACATTGAAGGTCTACAGTCGCGTACAGGGTTTGCGTACAACAAAGTCGTTATTTGTATGTTTGACGGAGAGACAAAACACCTGTATTAGGATGACCTATAATTTTCAGTTGACATAAAAGGCGCAGAATTTCAGCGTTGGAAGTATAACATATATCTACATTACA